AAGGGGAAAAAAAGGGGGGGGAAAAAAAAGAAAGTGGGGGAAGGGGAAAATGGGGGGTCCCCCCTTTTTTTCCCCCCCCCCCCAGTGTGTGCAGACCCCACAGATTTCGGGGTGCCCCAATTTTGGGTGATTCCCCAATTTGTGACCTCGCCTCCCCCTGAGATTTTGAGGCCTCCCAAATTTGGAATTTTGAATGGGGGGAGGGGTGATCCCCAAATTTATAACCCCAAATTTTTGACAGCCCCCCCCCCCACCACCCCATTTTTGGGGTACTCCCCCCCCTCCCCAATTTGTGCGCCCCCCCCCACCCCGCCCCCACCCTCCCCAGATTTCACGGGGTTGTTTTTCTGGGGGTTACCATGATGGAGCTGAGGATCTCCTGCATGTTGATGGGGGCGTTTTGGGGGGGTCCTGGGGGGCCCTTGCCCGCCCCGACGCTGCCCATGAGGTTGGCAAGGACTGGGGGCAGCTTGGCCCCCGCCCCCGGCTCCGGGGAGGCCGCGGAATTCCCGGGATCCAGCCCCTCGGGATAGGCCCCGTCCTCGCCCGAGCAGTCCTGGGTTGGGAGAGGGGGGGGGGGCACAAAAGGGGGGAGGTCAGGAAAAGCATTTTTGTGGGGTTTTTTTTTTTAAGGGGTTTTTTTTTTAGTGTTTTTTAAATTTTTTTTATTTTTTTTTTTTAAGGGCTTACCTCGTCCAAGGGGATGAGTTTGGGTGGGAGCGGCTCGTAGGATTCCGGGTCGGGCTCGTGGGGACTGTCGGGAATGCTGAAGGGGTGGAAAAAAGGTCAGTGGGTTTTTCTGGGATCCCAAAGGATCTGGGGGACCCCCCAAAAAGGTTCCTAGCCCACATCTCCAGGTTTAGGTTTTCCAGCTCTGTGCGTGCCACAAATACTGGATTCTCCCCTGGTTTGGGTGTCCCCCAAAATGGTCCCCAAAAAGAGGCTCAAAGTGACAAAAAACGGCAGCTATGATGTCACTGAAATAATTCCCGAAATAGCACCAAAAGCTTTCCTAAAAAAAGGCTCTGGGCATCCCCAAAAAGAGGCTGAAATCATCCCCAAAATGGTGCCCAAATTCCTCACAAAATGCTGCCCAAAACTCTCACAAAATGGTGTCCAAAGCCCTCACAAAATGGTGCTCAATGTGTCCCCAAACTGCTCCTAAAACTGCACCCCAAAAGGGCACCGAAAAGGGGACATTTAAAGCGTTCCTAAAATGACCTCCAAAAAGGCCTGCAATGTGCTCCCAAAGTGGCCCAAAAAGAGTCTTGAAGTGCTCCCAAAGTGGCCTGTAAAGTGTCCCCAAAATGTCCCTCAAGGTGTCCCCAAGTTTGGTGCCCAAAGCCCTCACAAAATGGTGCCCAAAGCCCTCACAAAATGGTGCCCAAAGCCCTCAAGAAATGGTGCCCAAAGCCCTCACAAAATGGCGCTCAAAGCCCTCAGAAAATGGTGCCCAAAGCCCTCACAAAATGGTGCCTAAAGCCCTCAAGAAATGGTGCCTAAAGCCCTCAAGAAATGGTGCCCAAAGCCCTCACAAAATGGCGCTCAAAGCCCTCACAAAATGGCACCCAAAGCCCTCACAAAATGGCGCTCAAAGCCCTCATAAAATGGCGCCCAAACCCTCATAAAATGGCGCCCAAAGCCCTCACAAAATGGCGCCCCAAGTCTCCTCAAAATGGCTGCCGAATCCCCCTCACTAACCCTGACACCTCGGGCTCAGAACACTGCAAATCCCCCAGTCCCGAGCAGCTCCCGAATGAGATCCGGGATCTGCCAACCCCTTCCGTTCCCAAATTCCCGGTAAATCCCGCCAGGATTCCCGCTCACCTCTCCTTGGAGAGGAAGATCTCCTGCAGGATGCCCTTGACGCGCTCGGCCTGCGTGAAGCGCTCGCGGCTGCCGCTGCCGGGGATGACGAGCGGCGCCGGCAGATCCAGGGCCTTGGGGTAGGCCCAGGGCACCTTCTCCTCCATGGAGTCGTGGCTGAGGCGCCGCGCCGTCTCGAAGGCGTGCCGGTCCTTCAGCATCTCCCGCTTGGCCGCCTCGCCAAAGTCCTTGATCTTGTTCACGTTCACTGCGAGGGGAGGAAATTTGGGATCGGTGAAAAGAAATACTGGGATTGGCCTGCTCTGGTTTGCCCGGGTTGGAAGTGTTCTCAAAATGGCGGCCAAAGGGCTCTCAAAATGGTGCCCAAAGTGGCCACAAAATGGTGCTAGAAGTAGCCACAAAATGGCCGCCAAAGTGGCCACAAAATGGCGTTCAAAGAGCCCACAAAATGGTGCTCAAACTCCACACAAAATGGTGCCCAAAATGGCCACAAAATGGTGCCCAAAGTGTTCTCAAAATGGCACCCAAAGTGGCCACAAAATGGCGCCCAAAGTGTTCACAAAATGGCTGCCAAAGTGGCCACAAAATGGTGCTCAAACTCCACACAAAATGGTACCCAAA